ACGTTTCCCCATTCCTGCTGGAGATTCAATTCTAGATGAAAACCAGAACCGTTGGATAACCACCCGTTCAGAGGCTGAGATCCTTTCATCTCCCTCCCTGGGACTAACACCTGCCTGAGCGTGTGACTCCCCGTGTGGGGCTGTCGAGACACAGGCCAGTGTGCTATCCCCATGAGTCCCTCTTACCAACCGTTCCATACTCAGAATGTGTTTAAGTGCCAACGCAGCATAAATCAACCAAAAAGTACAACTGCAGACCTTGCAAAAGATGTAGAATTTCCTGAATCAAGGATACAAATGTTGGAGACTGGCCTGAACCACAGGCAAATGAGGCTCTGTTTTCATGGCTAATTTTGACCTGCAAGATTTTTGTTCTAAACACTGTTTTTAGAAGCTAAACACTATGCGAGTTGGAGCTTCACGGCATCTTGCTTTTAATGCAAGTTCTTGCTTTGTTTTGGTCAAACGCTGGCTCATGGATCCCTTCGGAAAAGGCTGTCATTTCCTAAGTCCTTCCAACACGACAGCTGGCTCAACCACCGACACGTTCAGAATGACCGAAATCACATACACACAGGGACCCGCGTAATTGCGCTGTGTTTTCTGGGATTGTGTTTCACCTGACGCAAAGGAACATTTTAGCAGGTTCCAATGAAAACCCACGCAGGCATTGGCCCAGGGTTTTTACTGTGTGAGGGAGTGACGGATACACTGGCTGAGAGCTCGTATCCAGATGAGGTCTTGGGGAGAAGGGCGAGTCGTGTCGGATGGCCTTAAAAGCTGACTTAAGGAAAACACTTTTCTTGGCATTCAGAGGTGTTCAGGGATTAGGAAAAAGCCGGATGCCTGTATCCACTGCAGAAGTGAAACAAAACATTTGTTTTGTTTGTGCTTGCTGGACAGACGATGTTGGCTTAGAGGTCATCAGAAGGCTGGCGAGAGGTGCTTGTGCTGTGAGGACTCACAGATAAGCCCCTTGTCCACAGGCAAGTCCTAAAGCAGTGAATCCCGTTCGCGCCCTAATTCCCCTGAAACCCAGCGAGCCCTTCCCATGAGCCTCTGCGTCTCCATCAGGCCTGATCTGGAAACACGTCAGGGATGTCACTAGGAGGGCAGGGGGCTTTGGGATGAGCCCTCTTAGGACCGACACATCTACAATTCCAATGAAACGCTTGCTTTGTCTACAGGGCTGGACCCGCCGGCCCAGGATTTATTTGCCCAGGGCTGTGAATCTGATGGCAGCCACAGACTGGCATGTGACGGGCACCTGGCATGCACCCTTAGTCCTCAGGGCTCCCCTCCAGTGTCCTGACAAGGTGCTGATAGGTGTCTCGCTCCGCTTGCCACGAGTGGTACCTCCTCACGTACCGCCTTCCGTTGGCCACGATCTCTTTCTCTAGGGCAGGGTCGCTAACCAGTCTCTTCGCCAGCTGAACAAATTCCTGCCGAGAAGGAGGGGAAGAGGAATAGATGTGAATAGTGGCGACGGGGTTGCAGGTGCCCCCAGACGCCTGTGCCTGCTTGTCTTCTTGCCCACCTCCCTTCCCCTGAGCAGGTGGATGAATGAGTGTTACTGCAAACGCTGGGGTGGGGTAAGAAACTCGACACACGTGCGCGCACGCGCGCACATATGCACGCGCGCACACATGTGCACGCACACACTAGGATGAACTTCTGTGGTTAAGTATTGGGGTCAGTGGTGCCTCCCGTCTCTCTCGCCTGGATTGCCAAAACCTGGGCGTCCTTTCCTTAGTGACTCGCCCCTCACTCCAGAACCGGAGCCCCTGTACCCCAGACAGCACCTCTCCTGCCCCATTTGCTCGTCATTGTGTTGGTTCCCTCATCCTGGCCACGGAGTGGAGCGTGGCTGAAACGGTGGGCATCACCTGGTTTATGGGAGAGCTCCAGGCTTCAGGGGCAGATCTGGGTTCAAGTCACAGTGGCTTCGCTGTGCAGCTTTGGGCGAGTAGGTTCGCCTCTCTGGGCACCACTCACCGTCTCTAGGGGGCAGTGAGTGCCTGGTTGCCCGGCCCAGCCGTGCCAACACGGGTGAAGGCGGCAGAGGGATTGATGGGTCCTGGCTTCCCGCCCCTCCACTTTTTTCCATTGCTGAGTTTCAGACTGTATTTCCTGAACGTGCATTACTTGTTGGCCCTCCCAGACATGGCGCGGTCATGAAAAGAGTGGCCCGTTTCCGATCTCCAAGCCCTTCCTCATTGGAAAGANGGCAGCCTCTTTTCCCGTGTGTGCCAGTGCAGAGAGATCTCCGCCATCTCTCCCCCTCCTTGTAGGGACACCAGCCCCGGTGGAGGAGGGTCTCACCCTCGGACCTCATGTAACCCTAATTATCTCCTTATGGCCCCATCTCCAGACGCAGTCACTGTAGGTGTTAGAGCTTCAACTTGAGTTGTAGGGGGGACGCAATTCAGTTTATAACACACAGGGACACAGGGGAGCCCATCTGAAGATGGAGGCAGAGAGTGGGGTGATGCTACCACAAGCCACGGGATATCTGGAGCCCCCAGAACTGGACAAGGCAAGACAGGATCCTGTCCTAGAACCTTCCAAGAGGTGAGGTCCAGCGGGCACCTTCACTTTGGACTTCCTGCTTCATGATGACTTCACCTGGAACTGACCAGGTTAAGCCGTGTTGCTGACCAGCAGAATGAGTGCAGATATGAGTGTCCTGGTTCAGAGCAGACACCACACAGGGCCCTGCCTGCCTCTCCTGTTCTGGAATCACCAAGGACCAGGATTGAGTTCCGGGGCCACCACCCGCTCCAAGCCCCTGTGAGGTGGGGGCTGCTGCTGCCACTGTGCCCGGGTCCCTCCACTGAGTCCCTACCGGGCAGGGCGGTCACACCCGCTCCTCCTGCACCTGCACCCTGGCTGCAGGCCTCATGCCCGGCCCGGGGATGGGCTCCTCCTGTTTTCTTCCCAGCCTGATCGTTCCAGCACAGACATTACCTCGGGGTCCCTGCGGACTCGGCTCCTGATAGCGTCTAGAACACGCATTTTGAGCGTTAAAACCTTCCACTCTCAAAACTCCTGCTTTGCAATTCAGAAGCTTTGGTTCTCAAGACGGCCGCTTTCTCTCTCATGGAATTCAAAAGAGCCTCAGAAACTCAGAGCCAAGGATTCCACTCTTATTATCTGAATTTCATTGAGGCGATGCCTTTCTGCACCCTTAAAACCTAAGCTCAGAATTGTCCAGTTTTCATAGAAAATTGTGTGTGTGTGTGTCTGTGTGTGTGCATGTATGTGCACATGCAAAAAAAATGCTTATTGGTGAATATATTGGTATGTTATTCTGCCAACAAAAAATAGGAAAAACTTGCATAAAGGCAGTATCATAGCTTATGGGGTTGATCCAAAAAAGAGCTATTTCCAGGCAAGTAAAAAATATTCTAAAGAAGGAAGTCTTACTGTATTTCAGACCTAATGATCAAAATTTCAGCTCTGTACTACTTATCAACAAATAACAATTCTCATAACTACAGAGGGTGCCAAAAAAGTATATACACATTTTAAGAAATGAAAAGAAAACTGTATTAAAAGTATGCTGATGGTAACCACTTTGAGCACCTCTTGTAATTGCAGAAGTCAAACGTGACTTGTATTCATCTTTTGTTACTGGTATATACTGAGTATTACAATGAATACAGTTTTCCTTTCTTAAAATGTATATAGATTTTTTTTGGCACCCTCTGTATGTAACTCATTCAAAATAAATGTGCTGATATTAGAACTGATGCTTCTGATGGGAAGGAAAATAAATTTCCCTCTACCTTAGTGGCTTTGGTGACTGAGGCCCTGCGGAGAAGTGACAAGACAAAGGGATAGAGTTTTGAGCGTCTAGGGGCCCTACATTGTGGACGGTGAATACACGGGGAGACCAGCGGATGGTAAGGGTTGTTGAGTAAAGCTCCTCTGTGCGGCTCCTTTTCCATCGTCTCCTGGACCATAAAGCCCCCGGGGGAAGGGGGCTTACGGCAGACCTCACTTCTCAGAAGTGTCTTCGAGAAGGCTTCTTTCTGCGGATCCTTCAGCTCAGAATGAGACTCCATACGCCAGAGGGGGCAGTTTTGGGGTCACATATTCTGATCCCTTTCAGCTCCCTCTGACCTGGCTGAACGCTTGTCTAACCCACGTGCCAACTAAATCCCTCAGTGTATAGCTGGCAACCACATAGATTTGGGGACAGTCACATGCAGAGTTGGGTTGTGGGGAGAGAGAGGTGGAGGGTGGGGAGAGCGCAGTGACTCGGGACCAGTTTCAGGGCCTGGGTCTCCTCTCCTGTAAAGACATAGGGCTGCTCCGAGGAGAAATTAAGACGGCACAGAGAAGGCACTGCCACACGAGAACCACAGCCTGGCTTTAGTAAAGAGAGTTTATAGGAAAGGGGTCTTGACGACTCCTGGAATACGGAGAACGCTCTGAGCATAAGGTCTGCAAGCATCGTGTGGGGCGAGGCCAAGTGGGCTTTTATTTTGTAGGGAGGAGCAAGCCCAGCTGGAAAGAGCAGGTGTGGGAAGTGGGAGGGGCTGGATGGCGAGTAGGTGGGAGGGGCGTGGCCCTGGGCCCAGCCTTTCCTCAGGGGCCTGTAAGGGTCAGCTGTCTGCTGGTGCCCGCTCAGCCTGGACCCAGACCAGAGGGACAGGAAGGGAAGCGTTTACCCAGAGTGTGATCAACAACACGGATCAGTGGGCCAGCGGCTCACTGCTGAGACAAACACTGGGCGTTTTTGAGGGTCTGTGCCTGGCTGTGGCACAAACATGGGGACACTGGTGAGTCCATCTAAGTCACACATCACATGGGGAAGGGAGGCCCTTTGCAGAAAGCCCTTTCCCTGAGCGTAAACCTTTCCTGTTTTCTGGGAGAGCAGGGCTTGGGTAAAACGCACCGCCGTCAGCTGGCACACACACGGTTCAATTCGCGTGTGCTCTTTTTACCCACCGAACTGGAGGCACGTCACCATTTTAAATCATCAATGCAGCTGCTTTTTCAACCAGCTCATGTATTATAGTTGCTTATATGCCCGCTGAGCCTCTAAGCACATGTAGACACAGGGAGAGACGGGGCCGAAAGTAACAGACAAGCCTCCTTGGCCAGCGGAAACCTAGCAGGGATTTCCCACTGCGTGAGTGGCTTTCCAGCTGTTTCCAAGGGGCAGGAATTTGCACCAAATGCCAAGTCGGGAAGCTCACCTCCTAGTGTTGCCTGGTCCCCTCGCTCTCCCGCGGATTGCAAACCTCTGGTTATTAGCCTTTCTGATTTGGGGAAATACTTAGCATATTTTTTATATTAGATGCTGGAGAAGAAAATCCATTTTAAATGAAGCTTGACTCTTGGAATAGCTGAGGCTTCCTGAAGTGCACGGAGTGATTTCGAGGGCCTGTGGCTGGGAAGGGTATGAGGACATTAATTTCTTTGTTCCTGAGGGAGAAAGCTTTTGTAACTGAGCAGGATTGTGTAACTTTTTGGAAAGGCGTTTTCTCTCTTAAGGACTATTTGTGAGTCTGAAAAAAGTAGACTGTAAGAATAATCTCTTTAAATTAGATTGTGGCCACAGGTAAAGATGAAGTCATTCCTTTTAACTGACACCCGTCCCCA